GTACTAGTGAATGTATTCATTTTTTCTATTTGTAGAAAAAGAAATACATAAAAGCGATGGAAGTACACGGCATGCCTATGATAGCTTACGTGCATTTTTACTAACAACATTATCGGCCACACTGAATGGCTCCGGTCAACGTATGATACACCAATTTTGTGATATGTACGAACATGCAAGACATGATCCAAACGAATTTGGAAGCGAAGAATATGATTCATATCATCGCCTATTGTTAAAATTAATTGATGCGTAAGTTTATAAATAAAATGTGTGGTAATAGTTAAAAAATATAATTTTATACTATTTCAGTGCAAAACAACTTAAAAATTTAGCTAATTCACGTAAAACATCACCTGCACGTACACCAAAAAAACAAACTAAAATGCATTCATTATTGGATCCAGCGAGACTAAGACCACCACCTTTAACTAATTCTTCCAATAGCGGTGTTAATATACCACCCAGTAGTGATCTTACCGCCGGACAGCATTCCAAAGTCAATTTAACATTAGGCCTACATGGTTGCGATGACGCTCCAGAAGTAACGCCAAGCTCTTTACATTTACAACCAACAACTGAACGTGATATTATAATACGTAATCGTATAAAAACACCCACACTGGAAGATAAAGATGAAGATATAACTAGCGCAGATCCAGATGATAATGAAATTCGAAGCATATCATCATTACATCAATTCCAAGGTAGTGCAAGTGTTGTTTGATTGTATATGCACGCGAGGCACTTGATCAAGGATATAAAAGCAACTAAACAGTTTTCCCTTAAATAAAAATTGTAATATTTAATAAAAGCATACTTCCTCCGCGGGTAATAAGTTATAATTATTGACGAAATATTCAATTAGTTAAATATAATGTACCAATAAGATTAATCGCAATTTTAATTTAATAAAATAAACCAAAAACTAGTTTGTAAATAAATGTTTATTAAATAAATAATTAGTACGCAAATTTCAAAGTCTAAACATAACATGATATACACATGTAGACACATTTATACATATGTTTATATATATATATTTAATTATAGATATATATATATTTTTATATATAGATTTGGATACATAACATAACATGAAGTGTACATGTAAACATAGTTATATAAATATATACATATAGATATAGATACGTCTGGAATTAAATATACTTATATTTTTTTATTTTTTAAAGACTTAAAGGAATTTTTATATATTTTTATTATTATCAATATTTTTTAAGTGCATAAAAAATATATTTAGTTTTCCACACTGTGAATTTAAATACAACTTTAGCAGTTACCATCTTTTTTCGCCATAAATTGTAATAAATCCAGAAGCCGACAAGAGTAACCATATTCATTATCATACCAAGAGATTAACTTCACGAAGCAATCATTTAATGCTATACTTGCTTTCGAATCAAAAATCGAGGACCGCTTATCTGTAGTAAAGTCACTGGACACAACATCATCATTGGCGAAGCCTAATATACCTTTCAATTCATTTTCTGAAGCCATACGTATTAGTTCTTTAACACATTCTATATTAGCGGGTTTTCCCAAACGGCATGTTAAATCAACCACAGACACATCCGCACATGGTACGCGAAAGGCCATACCAGTAAGTTTTCCATTGAGTTCAGGTATAACCTTACCAACAGCTTTTGCAGCGCCAGTTGAAGCAGGTATAATATTCCCGAAGCAACTGCGTGCACTACGCCAATTCTTTCCTGTGCCATCCACACATTTTTGACTTCCAGTTGCTGCATGCACTGTAGTCATAAGTCCTTCAACAATTTCAAAGTTTTCATGAACAACTTTTGCCAAAGGCGCCAAACAGTTCGTTGTGCATGATGCATTAGAAACGATCGTAATATCGCTTTTGTATTTATCCAAATTGACTCCGCATACGAACATTGGGGCATCTTCGGATGGTGCAGATATAATAACCTTTTTTGCACCATTTTTCAAATGCACTTCAGCAGCTTTCTTTGTCTTGAATATACCAGTGCATTCTGCCACGTAGTCCACATTAACTTCACACCATTTTACTTTTTCTGGATCTTTTTCATTAAAAATCTTTATTTTCACATCATTTACAATCAAACAATTTTTTGTAATGCATATTTTTTTATTGTAAACTCCATGCACACTATCATATCTTAGCAAATAAGCCATGTACTCCACATTCGCCCCAGGATCATTGATAGCTCCGACTGGCATATTTCGATCAAGGGCTTCGCGCAGCACCAAACGACCAATGCGCCCAAAACCATTTATCCCTATTGTGGGCATCTTTGAATTTAATTAAAATATAAATGTAAAAAATAAAAAATAAAAAAAAGGAATAAAAAAAATATGCGGTTTATATTCAAAGAAATTGATATGAATTTATTTCGAACAAAAAACAAAATTTAATAATAAAATAATTATAATATATGAACGCCTACTACAGTTTTAAAAGTTAATTATTTATTTTTTACACATTTAAAAAAACAATAATTCTTCTTGTCCATCACAGCTTCTGTAGAATGAGACTCAATGGTGGAAAGTGCAAGCAATTCTGCCAGTAGAGATTATGGATGTCAATTTAAAGTAAGCTTTCGTTAAGATTGAAGTGACAAAGTATTTTTAAAAATGGAAACAATAACTGAGTCTGTATAATAACAAAAACATTAAACATTAGAGAAAAGTGATCTTGTCACATGAGTCGAAATTCCAGTAATCTGTTTTAATTCTACGGTAACACAATAGGCATAAAGCTCTTATTACAGTAGATCCGCCCAAGTGATCACAGATACTATTGAATACAAGAATACTAATTCGCGTCTCATCAAGCAAATAAAAAAGTAAAAAAAATTTCATTAAATCGGGAATGGAGTTTCAATTGCGGCACATGACTGACCACACATATATGTACATGTTCCTACTATTTTCGTCATAGATCTATCAAGTTTAAGGACATTATTACACAAAAGTGTCCACTACTCCTAATAAAAAACTACTTTAGCTATATTTTTTGCGGATTTCCCTTACCTCTAACAGAATTGCTTGCACTTTCCATCGTTGAGTCTCTTTCTACAGAAAATGTGATGGACAAAAAGAATTATTGTTTTTTTAAATGTGTAAAAAATATTTAATTAACTTTTAAAACTGTAGTAGGCGTTCATTAATTATTATTATTTTATTATTAAATATTTACATTTAGATTTTAATCAAATTTAAAGATGCCCACAATTGGTATAAATGGTTTTGGGCGCATTGGTCGTATGGTACTGCGTGAAGCCCTTGATCGAGGTATGCCAGTCGGAGCTATCAATGATCCTGGGGCGATGGTGGACTACATGGCTTATTTGCTAAGATATGATAGTGTGCATGGAGTTTACAATAAAAAAATATGTATTGCGAAAAATTGTTTGATTGTAAATGATGTAAAAATAAAGATTTTTAATGAAAGAGATATGAAAAAAGTTAAATGGGGCGACGTTAATGTGGACTACGTGGCAGAATGCACTGGTATATTCAAGACAAAGAAAGCTGCTGAAGTGCATTTGCAAAATGGTGCAAAAAAGGTTATTATATCTGCACCATCCGAAGATGCCCCAATGTTCGTATGCGGAGTCAATTTGGATAAATACAAAAGCGATATTACGATCGTTTCTAATGCATCATGCACAACGAACTGTTTGGCGCCTTTGGCGAAAGTTATTCATGAAAATTTTGAAATGGTTGAAGGACTTATGACTACAGTGCATGCAGCAACTGGAGGTCAAAAATGTGTTGATGGCACAGGAAAAGACTGGCGTAGTGCACGCAGTTGCTTTGGGAATATTATACCTAACCCAACTGGCGCTGCAAAAGCTGTTGGTAAGGTTATACCTGAACTCAATGGAAAACTTACTGGTATGGCCTTTCGTGTACCATGTGCGGATGTGTCTGTGGTTGATTTAACATGTCGTTTGGGAAAACCCGCTAATATGGAATGTATAAAAGAACTAATACGTATGGCTTCAGAAAATGAATTGAAAGGTATATTAGGCTTCGCCGATGATGATGTTGTGTCTAGTGACTTTACTAATGATAAACGGTCGTCAATTTTTGATTCGAAGGCAAGTATAGCATTAAATGATTCCTTCGTGAAGTTAATCTCTTGGTATGATAACGAATATGGTTACTCTTGTCGGCTTTTGGATTTATTACAATTTATGGCGAAAAAAGATGGTATCTGCTAAAGTTGTATTTAATTTCAGTTTGGGAAACTAAATACATATACTTTTCTATGCACTTAAAAAGAAAAATATATGTATATTTAATTATATTATTTAAATGAAAATTGCAATTAATCTTATTGGTACATTATATTTAACTCATTGAATATTTCATCAATATTTTATATGATTAAATGAAATTTCGTTAACAATTTAATTTTATATGATTTATTTAATTAATAATAATAAGAACTTGAACATGTATTTAATTGTTTGTATATTAAAAAAAAAACTATAATTAGATATTTAAAAACATGGTGTTTATAAATATCAAAATATCATATCATGGCTAGTACAGGTCATAGTACTGTCTTCACTGCCATACATATTATTATCATTTGCACTAACAACAACTGTGGTTGGGCTACTGCCGGTATTCGCTCACCTCTTAATAGGCAAATCTCATATATTTGTATGAGACTAGTATAAAATTTCATAAAAAATCAAATTTATAATAATTTGGAAGAACTTGTGCATTGCATAAGCACACGAAGCCAATCATATATTTTAGGAAAAGGGAATACAAACGCAAAGACTAGGTGTTTGAATTTGTGTGTCCATTCAACGCTAAATAAGTACACTCAGCAGCTCTTTTGTATGTTTCCAACACTTAAGATCATTGTGTTATACGCAGCTTTTGCTTGCCTTAATTGTTCCACAATTTAAAGCTGATTGTGCTTTTAGCTGGCTACTCGAGCTGACTACCATGAAATCAAAGGGAGTAATTTTTTTGCTCTGCATTTGCAATCTGTATATTATTTGTCTGTGGTATAACTTATTACATGCGGAGGAAGTATAGTTTTTATTAAATATTACAATTTTTATTTAAGGGAAAACTGTTTAGTTGCTTTTATATCCTTGATCAAGTGCCTCGCGTGCATATACAATCAAACAACACTTGCACTACCTTGGAATTGATGCAATGATGATATGCTTCGAATTTCATTATCATCTGGATCTGCGCTAGTTATATCTTCATCTTTATCTTCCAGTGTGGGTGTTTTTATACGATTACGTATTATAATATCACGTTCAGTTGTTGGTTGTAAATGTAAAGAGCTTGGCGTTACTTCTGGAGCGTCATCGCAACCATGTAGGCCTAATGTTAAATTGACTTTGGAATGCTGTCCGGCGGTAAGATCACTACTGGGTGGTATATTAACACCGCTATTGGAAGAATTAGTTAAAGGTGGTGGTCTTAGTCTTGCTGGATCCAATAATGAATGCATTTTAGTTTGTTTTTTTGGTGTACGTGCAGGTGATGTTTTACGTGAATTAGCTAAATTTTTAAGTTGTTTTGCACTGAAATAGTATAAAATTATATTTTTTAACTAATCCTACACATTTTATTTATAAACTTACGCATCAATTAATTTTAATAATAGGCGATGATATGAATCATATTCTTCGCTTCCAAATTCATTTGGATCATGTCTTGCATGTTCGTACATATCACAAAATTGATGTATCATATGTTGACCGGAGCCATTCAGTGTGGCCGATAATGTTGTTAGTAAAAATGCACGTAAGCTATCATTCCATACATTATATTTTGCTAATGATTCACATTTTTCATCTCATCAAAGGTTGTAACTCCACTCATATATCGCTTCTGTAAATTACCACAAAATCCTACTTTTTAAATAATTGTGAATTATAAACAAAATAAAGGAACAAGAATGGTCGGGTCTATGTCACGTAGCCGCTCATCAATTTCGACCAAGTGCCGTTCACCTTCCCCTAAAGGAGCTACACAGTCCCCGCTACAAATGCAAAAAAAGAGACAAATTTTATTATATTTTTACATGTAACTTTATTTACACACATGTATATAGATGATAAATAAGTATTTTGTATTAAAAATACATTTATTATGTAAAATAAAATCATTATTTTAACATTTAAATATAAATAAGTAATTCTAACATATCAATATAATTATTAGGTTGTATAAATAAACAAATAATTTAACAAATAATATTTAAAAAATTTTGGCAATACAATAATAGAATATAATCTTGCAGAATAAAGATGAGCCAAACAAATTTGTACCTTGCCAGATAAATTTTTAACTACGGACAAGAAATACTGTTATATAAAAATGAACGATTGGGTTATTAAAAAATATTGAAATTCTTAACAATTTATCTGAAACAGACTTTTAATAATTTCTTAAACATGTCATAATATAATACTTAAAAATAATGCTTATTAATTGTACAACATTTAAAAATTATTTACAATACCAAGTAATAATTCTGCAACAAAATGATTTCATATTGCTTGCAGTTGTGTCAAGAAATTAATTAAAAAACTATGTCGCTCCTGTATTTCTTGAATAGTTCTATTGGTCAGTTTTTCGCTTATACGCTTATACAGATCATCTTTTTGTAGCGATGACATTTCAACTAAAATAATTTTATCTTCATCGCGGGTCCAGGATGCGCTATTAGTTGTTTTTTTATCAGTCGTTTCTTTTTCGGTAAGTATTTTACCTTTATCCGATCCAGTAGCTAAGGTAGCCACTACGTCCAAATTAGAATCTTTATCACTGTTGCACGATTCTGTTTCATGTTTATTTGTTTCTGTTTGCTTACAGGGTGATGAATATGAACAAGTCGAGCTTTCGGACAAAAATTCCATATCAGAAAAAACTTCAGTTTTTGGTATAATTTGAGCATAGTCCACACTATCAGCGGAAATACCCGTATTTATTTTACTTTGTGTATTTACTAATATGTCATAGTGCTGTTGGCATTCGAGATCTTCATGTTCATCATTGTTATGTTCAGTTCCATCACCACTGTTAACTAAATCTTTTAGTTTTTTTGCACAAGCAATAGCTGAACTTGTGCTCGGTAATATAACGAAAGGCCTTGTTTCTGTTTGTGTTCTAATGGGTGACTTGCATTTTTTCGTAGGTGATTTTCGTTTCTCACGTGCAGTATTGGTTATGTTTGTTGTTGTGGATGTTTTAGGCGAATGCTTTCTGGGAGATAATTTGCTTTCATCGTTTGTAATTAATGAAGTTTTCTTCGCATTAGGCTGATGAACTTGAGTATGCCCAGTATTTGGTGTGCTTGTCATTGCTGCATAATAATTGGGATTGAGACGTAATGTATGTGCGTGTAAAGTGGCGCTATCACAGATTTCTGTTGGGGTTGAGAAAAATTCCTTTTGATCGACTATATCAATTATAAGATCTTGAAAGAAAATGATATTATTGAGAATGTTTTATTAAATATATAGAATTTATGTTTTTCATTACTGTCAGTTATATCCTCTTCGATTTTGCAGTTAGAAATTTCGTTGGCATTTTTTGAAACTTCATTATCGGGATTTGGATTTGCTGCTAATTGTTTTTCACATTCGGCAGAAATAGCGTGTACACACCCAATATTTTGTACTGGAGTATCATCATTATCACTGTCCGCATCAGCATTACTGTACTTAGTAGCCATAAATGTTAGTTTGGCCGGCAATGCAATCTTTCCACCATAAAATATACGTCCGTTTATATACTATAAATTAAAATATTCAATTAATAATAAACAAATGTATTTGTATTTGCTATAAATATATTTCACATATTATAATATATACATAAATATATTAAATATGTATAACAAACGCATAAATATATATAATGTTTATATAAACACACATAATATATAAATAAATGTATTATATATATATATACATGCACTTATAAATGTATATAAATACATTTATAAATATATATTAATACATTTATTATATTCATAAATATGTACACGTTATATTATTATATCAGATCAAATAAACATAATCACTAACAAAAACAATATAGATGTGATTGTTTTTAGGTTACCAAAGGTGACCTATATACTTACTCGTAGTTGACATGCTGGTGGTTGATCATTATTTGGCGAATCAAGTAAATCCGAAATGGTTTCATAAAACTCTCCATTCTGATTATTCTCAATATCTTTTAAATTAACATGTTCCGTTGATGTGTACAGACTTTCTGGAGGTTTTGCATCAGGAAATTGTTTCAAAAACCAATCAATCAAAAACTGATTGCCTCTAAGTAGGGGCACAATTCTTGTTTCAATTTGTTTAATTGTGACATTTTTATCTTCTGCTAATTCATTCAAGCAATTATAAATCTTACGTATTTGTGCTGGTTGCTTGCTAAAATATATATTTAATTTATTAACAAAAGTTGTAATATTAGTTATCA